TTTCGCATGTCACAGTATGGGACTATATGAAAAAAAAGGGTTATAAAAGTTCCGTGCCTATACCAACGCCGATGCTCACAAACCGGCATATTGAGTTGAGAAAAGCATGGGTACAGGAACATGTGAATGACAATTGGAACCGAACAATATTCACGGATGAGACAGCCTTTGATCTCTACCGAAACAAAGTTCGTCGTTGGCACAAAATTGGAGATAGGCCCGTTCGTAAATTACCTAAATCCCGTCAGAAGGTAATGGCGTGGGGCGGTATTTCTCGAATGGGAAAAACTCCCTTGTTTTGTTTTTCGAATATTATGGATGGTCCTTTTTACGTGAGAATATTGCAACCAGAATTCAACAGACAGGTTCAATATAACTAGAGTCTTACCTTGTTCACGTACAATTTGCACCTGAGATTTGACAGCGTATTACCAATTAACAGTTTAAGAGTTTAAAACGTTCCGACAATCGAAGATTTACTAGCAAATCTTCTTTTTATTTTGATAAATTAATCAGCGTATTCTTCTAGGAAATAATGGAATTAACGATACGAACGCCAATGATGAATATAACAATCTATCATTATTCGAAATAATAATAAATGTCCTTAATATTAATGATTACAGCTAAATTACAAACGCATTATCAACAAAATGCCTGACAACATCCTTCCCGGTACTATAAAATCTTTTGTTTCTCACAATGATAGCCCCATGAGCGTTCAGAGTGTCAATATAGACAGCATGCTTCTCCCATTTTAAACTATTCAAGTGCTTGAGTGCGTCTTTCTGTGCTTGCAACAATAACAAAGACTGGCTGTTACACGATTCGATCATACTGTACAAATCGCCAGTCGGTTTTCCAAGAATTTCCCCCGCGCTCTCGGTAACGGGTGACGTGGATCCTGAAGGAAACAAGCCTTTTATATTCATTGCTGCTTCTATGCTTCCTTCTTCGATATCTGATGTTACTATTGAAAATGGTGATGCTTGGGACATACGTGTTACGCGTTTACCTTCACGCGTGCGAGTATCTATTATTTGCTGTACCCGTCGTCGAGATCGAGCTGATTGTACTGTTAGAGTGCTCAACGCAAAAGTAAGCCATATTGGAACAACAATAGGAGCAGCCACGCCGGCTATAATATAACGGGGTAAACTTTTGGCTAGTGCCATTGTATCAACCGTCGATGCTTCTTCTTTCAACTGTACTGATTCTATGATAGACGGCCAATTTTTATTTGTTGTTCTGAAATATAAAGAATTTCATATGATTAGTGAATGAATTGTGTGACAGAAAGTCCTAAGATTATTTGTATACATTACATGTTAAGCTTGTCCATGTTGTCAAATGGATTGACGTCCACGATGGCAGCTGTCCAGAATGGTACTGTTCTATCATTATACGTATTTGCGTAAAGCTTACGATACTTGAAAGTCGAAAGGGCTTTATAGAACACCTTTCCTAATACGAAGCATGTTTCAATCGACGAGAATATCAGTTTGACGTCGGAAGAATTTGGCGTTATTACTAAGAACCTTATCGACTATCAATTAAACGAAAAGGTTACCTGGATCCGCTAACACGTGGATAAGTGGTTTATCGTCTTCATATTCGTCAACCAACTGCAACTGCTCACCTTGATTTTAAAGACAGATCGAATTAAAAATTAATAGCCTCACATAAGAATAACACAACAGTCATAACTTACCAGTCTTTGACAGTATACGTGAAGATACCCAGTTGAATACCTTGTTATAAGTCGTGTCATCTTCTCTACGTATTCCCAAGTGAGGCGTCGCAAACGTAGTAAAGAGCTAACGATAATAGATCAGTTGTGATCCAAAGACATAAGACAGCCCCCAAGAAATTCTCGTATATTCTTACCCATGGCTCAACTTCCTTGAAAAAGCCATCATCAGATAATGCACCGATTGCATAGCGCGAGACCAAACCACCGAGCGAATAACCGATAATCGAGAATTTAGTAACTTTATAGTTTCTATCTTTTAAAATTTTATACTCCTCCATTATCTAGATAATAAAATCATAGCTGAGTCGTGCAATCTCGTCGAAAAACACATTCATTCTTGACAAATCATACTTCTTCGGTGAGTCTCTCTCCACAAATGTCAATGCCGTCGTATGTGTACTCGGACGTATTGCACTTGGCGTTTAACTAAGATACAATGAATGATTAGTACATCTGAATATAGTTAATAAGAATATTAATAAAAACTTACGATATGTATTTGATCGCCGTATTTTTCATCCAACTGTTCTACAAAGTATTTCAAATGTCCTGGATTGCCCCACAATCTGTTAAATAAATAAACCGTTGCAATTAGCTATACATAATCGATGACGACTTTAACCTCTCAAGTTTGCATGTTATTTAGTATCAACTCACCCATGCACCCAAACAACAAAATGAATTTCTTTCCCCGCTGCGTCTTCTTCTAGATTCTCTATACCACAAGTCATTTTGAAAGAAAAGCGTTGTAGTTGTTGTGCTGCCTGTATTTATAACCTGTATTTATAAATTTTTATGTATCCAGTATTTTCGGCTGTTGCTATTTATGTTACTATGGGTAAATTAATGTGATGCAATGTTTGTGCATGGCATGTGATGCGACCAATGGGAATGTAAGCCGTACATATGAGGCTCATGAAATTCTGACACTGTTCCGCTTAGTAGGGAACTGATAACCGAAATGTGGTATGCCAAAGTATACGACCCATTGAGTAAGAGAAATTACCTTAATTTGTAAGTTGATTGTCGACATAACGATAATTAAGGAAAAACTAATTAAACGTATAATAAGCTGCGGGTAGTATCGATGGTACCGATACCATACCTCACGACCACGCCGTTCAGAGAGCACAGGAAGCTGTCTGTAAGGAATTATGTTACCATTTATTGGTACAAGCATTGTAACTCAATTTACACATATTAATGTTCGCATTTAGATAAACAACCCAGTTCGAAAAATCCCGCTATCACAAGCGACCCAACTAATACGATTTTCATTGGGAGACTCAATCCTCAAACAACAGAGGGCAAGTATCAATTCAATTAATCATTACATGGACCATAGACATTTTAACATTCGTTCCGTGTCCTCTATCTAGATATTCTACGTGAAATATTCGAGAGGTTTGGAGCAATCAAAAAACTTCGTCTGGTACGAAATATAGGCAAGTGTCCTGTTGTATTCTAAGGTCACGCCCATGTCAAACGTCTAACTGTGTTGACCTGTTCTCCAGTGACTGGTGACTCAAGAGGATATGCATTCATCGAATACACTCACGAGAAGTCATGTCAAGATGCGTACAAGGTGATCGCCTTGTGTGTTGTATTTTTCAAGTATTTATTTATTCTCAACATGATCGTCAAAATACTTTAGAATGCGAATAGAATGATACTTGATGATAAACAAATCCTTGTTGATTACGAGAGAAGTCGCATTATGCAAGGTTGGGTTCCGAGAAGATTAGGAGGAGGATTTGGTGGCCGGAAAGAATCGGGCCAGCTACGATTTGGAGCCAGGGACAGACCGTTTAAACGGCCCTTGTAAGTGTATAATCAACGAACGTATTCATACCTGAATGTACGTCATTCATCATAAATGCATTGCATTATTAGTAAGGTGGCTGGAAATCAAAACATGCCAATAATATTACCGGAACAGCGCTACGATGACTGTTGGCGGCGAGACTTTCTTCAATCCTCGAATCAGCAGTCGCACAACCCACCCATCCGATCAGTCTTTCAACAAGCGAGATCTTACCATAATCGAGACCATGGATATGCAAGACACGTTAAATACAACAAGCGGTCGCCTGATCGGAGTCGTAGTCCTCGATCGCGGAAAAAGAACGATATTAGGGATCGACACAGAGATGGTGATGGAGAGAAGGTTAGGGAAAGAGAAAGGAGCAAGGAAACGAATAAAAACAGGGACAGGGATAGGGACAGGGATAGGGACAGGGATAGGGACAGGGATAGGGACAGGGATAGGAATAAGGACAGGGAGAGAGATAGGGATAGAGACAAAGATAGGGAAAGGGAAAGGGAAAAAGAGGGAGGGAGGGATAGAGAACGAGGCAGGGAAAGGAAAAGAGACGATTACAGGGACAGAGAAAGAGACCGAGATCGAGGAAAAAGAGAGAGAAGTCGAGAACGAAAGCGATACTAAGGATTTAAGTTGACTACTATAATGAAGCAAAAATGGAATCCTAGTTGCTGACGATGAAGGGATACAAACATTGTCCAAAACTAGTGTATCCTTACATCAACATCTTGATTCTTGTCTGATCTATTTGTCTTTTCTGAACGATCCTACTAAATATCGTGATTTACTTTGAGAAGATAGTGTCACTGAGATGTAAAGGAAAGAAACTCTTTAAAACGTATATCGTGGACTCCATATCCTTTTTATGCAATTTATCAATGATTGTTTTTCCAAGTGGTGTCATATTACATAGATGCACATATGAAGTTTCATTCACGATATTATAATAGATATGTATATGTATTTTCATAGAAATTGACGTATACACATACTTTGTAGCCCTCAGCTAGATTAATCAAGTTTAAGTACTGGTAGTTCTGTCAAGTATTTTACAATTTAGAGTAATTAGTCCGGGTAAATAATAACCTTGTGAAATGGTATGAAGATGTTGAACTTGGATCTTATTTCGTCTGCTTGCAATATGTCTAGCGTCAAGAAAATGCCGGGATTGCCGTCCCATTGTAAACTAACATTTTAATAAAAATTAACCAACTTTATCATTGTGGGGTGTTGGAAGGTCTGCAGATACGTGAAACAGAATTAAAGAAACATTGGTTGATTGAAGATTCACATCAGCTCTCATCACCATCACTTGCATCCGTCGTTTGTTTTGCTGGTAACCACTGGATCGGATGTTTATTGTATATCGGCCATGAAGGGAAGACAAGCTGTAGCCCAAGACATAATAGTTAGTGTAAATAGGGTTCACGTAAGATCCGGATCTATAATCACTTACCAAAGCGGATAGACCAATACCACCAGCGAATATCTCCATCGTTAAAAGCAAATCCTGGTAATAAAACCCGACAACAAAACCAAGTATCTGATACAGAAAGCGAAATTGTGAGCATAAACACAATTGGTTGAACGATATTTTGACAGGCGGACGAACTTACAGCTCCACTAATAATCACGAAATAGTAAATATATTCAGCCAGCTTTTGTCCTTCAAAATCCTGTAAAACGCGCAATAGTTAAGTCGAGTGGAAAAAAGCTTTGAGTTTCGATCTGATAAGAGAAGACATACTATGTTCATTTGTAACCACGACATTTTTGCGAGAACGATAAAGAAAAGAGTGTTGTCTTCATTCGCATGGTGGTGTCGTACAATATTGTGATAATTTAAAATCAGGTGATCGCGAAATTGTGACAAGTAATCGGATTTACGCAACATACTGGAGGCGATAACGTCAATTGTTTCTACGTAAGTCATATATTAATATGGTAAAATTCAACGTATCTACATACTATGCATATACACAGACAGTATATTGAATGATTTAGTTAGTGAGTAATATAGTAAATTTTCAACTGATGCTGCCATAACTTTCTAATTAATAACGTCGCCATATTCTTCTGAGGGAAAAACCCAGCACTTTCAACTGTTACCGAAACACACAACTGCATACAGCACATCTCGGTTATGAGATGACAAAGAATGGTCGTAGAAAAAAATATAGTCCCCGAGATTTTTATAAATATAAATTCACGCTGCGTTAATGATTGTATTGAAATTATTCGGAAAAATGTTAAACTTGATTCCGAGTTCAAGCAGGAAAAAAAACTTGTTGCATTAAAGGGCATGCGACTTAATAGTCTAATTATCGGCTCATGTCTTTACTGCGCCTTCGGATTTGTTGCAAATATAAATAACCAGTTCTTTATTATCAATTGTTTAGACGTAATGCAATGCTCATCGAACATTTATATCATATTACTGCGAATTATATATGCAAATACAGACAGTGCGCCAGTAAACATTTCGGAAATTTATTAAGTGATCGTCAGCGTGAATACTAATAAAAATAGACAGTCCACCGGCTAAATTTGCTATCCGCGGATTCATACGGCATACTACCGGTGACACGCTCGTGAGAGAATGTCGCCGTCGATATTTGTAAGTCGGATAAACCATCGGATTTTCATACTCTCGATGAGTCGGTCTCACATGATATTCGAAATTGTTTGTAATCACATCTGATGAACCAGAAGTCGTTAACGATGAACCCCTGAACAATTATATTGAGCTAGAAATGCCAACAGTCGTTGACGACGCTGTTGTGAGTGCAAAAAATATTTGAAATTAATAATAATTTAGAAACAGGTGATATAATGATTGTTTATACAAGATGTTCCGATAAGCACTCTCTTTAATATTCCACAAATCCCGTTATTATTATATTGGGACAATTCGTTTTATCGAAAGTCCGATATAGTAAATTCAGAAAACTTTTTCGATATAGTGGTTTATTTATTGGTTGATATTTGCATGCTTTTCAATAAGTACTGCACCTGAAAATTTTATTTGTTGCGAGTCGATATGGTATTTATCCAAATTTCGTAGCTTCTGCGTATGTTACTCTACATATTCTTTAGATGTTTTGCTTTCATCGATCTCTTTCCTGGAGTAGAACATCAAATTCTTTTATTAAAGCTGTTCATTGAACGTTTGCAAATCAAGCCGTTAACGACCTTGTCCTTCCGCTCCCATAATATTGTAAATGTTATTAATATACAAGAAGGGAAAATGTTTGACAATTTGATCTTTATTACACTGACGATGCGGATCGACTATGACTATAGCGGACGCCGTTATTATTCTGTTACAAGATTGAACAATGCCTCATTAAGCTCCGATTATCGAAAAAGTCCGGAACCGCACTACAACGATTTTTAACAGTAAATCCGCTATATTTAATTAGTATAGCTCTGGTTCCAATCCGTATTAATCAAAATTTGTTATATCGATAAACTATTACATCAGATTCTGCTGCGTATTTTATGTTCCTTCGGTCTCATGGTTTATAAGAAAAGTTTTTACGCAAATTAATTAAACTGTACAATTTTGATTGGCTGATTAATTACGGACTCTGTTATAATATACGTGAGCATGTTGTTATGAATAAAGTTCTTTGCGATAGTTATAATGTGATACAACTTAATTGGCTGAACACGATATCCGTTATATCAAGTATATTTTTGGTAGAACTGGCGTATAGTACTTTTCGGTTACATCCGCTATAGGGTTTATCGGGGGAAAGGGGTAATAACAACGCGAAAAATAGCCTAGACTTACAAGGATTAGCGTATTTATGAAATATTTAGGAAACAGTGTGTGCTATTGTCATAATTTATACGTGTACCGTTACGGACAAGCTATTCTAGTTTTGACTCTTAATGGAAAGCTGAGCTTCTAAAGTCTTTCAGTCCTGCGGAAATTTATTGACAATGTTGATATACTAATACTGTATTATTTACATGTAGAAAATTTTTGTTAGCTTCGTCAATTATTAAAAAAAAATAAGAATTAACACTCACCGAGAAATATAATATGAGGTACAATTATATTAACAAAAGTTGATATTTAATTAACTAATGTCAAAAACATCGAAACCGTTTAAAAAAACCAAAAATGAGAAAAATAATGAATCTTTGTGTTTTCGAAAAGTTACAACAGTATCATGCCAATAAAGTTTCTGTAATGTTTATCCTTACAAAAACGTTATAATTTACCCGGATATTGCTTGCTAATACAGCCCTTTATTTTAAAGTGTCTGTCTTTGTGCATCGTAAAATAGGAATTGTTTTTGCACAATTTCCGGTTTTTATACATAATAGCGTTCACTTGTAACAATTTGTCATGGTTTGAATGGAATAAAACGCGATGTGGGAAAAATTTATTACTTTGTATTAGCTAATTTATCTTTCTCCATCGCTAATAATAGACACTTAAAGATCAAATACTGCAAACGTTTATTAGAATATGTCTTGTATTTTATTCAAATAGTTATAATAACGCAGACTAAAAACCCTTACATTTTTTTGACTATTTTTATAAATTTAAATTCTCCGTTTAATGATAAAAGCCCTAAATATAGATAGTCATCAGAAATTACAAGTTTCAAAATAATGTAATGAACATACTACAGTCAAGACTCGATATAGTCAAGAATTCCTCTGAACAAACCGAATTATTAAATTTTCCCTCGATAAAATAAAGTTTTATAGTAAGTCTCGATATAGTAAATTTCGCGTTATAG